ATGTACAACTTCTGGAGGCATGTCATTCCACTGGTTAATTATCAAGAAAATTCCTCCTTAGTTCTAGGTTGCGTCTCTCCTTGATTAGTTTCCCACCGTTGCTTCTTGTCCTGCCTTCTGAAGTAAGAATCACAGAAGAACAGAGTTGGAAGGGGCCTTGGAGGTCTTCTAGTCTAACCCCCTGCTCAAGCAGAAGACCCTACACCATTCCAGACAAATGGCTCATTCTAGTCTAAACAAACCTCCAGTATTGTAGCACCCACAACTTCTGGAGCCAAGCTGTTCCACTGATTAATCGTTTCTCATTGTCAGAAATACAGAAGGGGCCTTGGAGGTCTTCTAGTCCAACCCCCCGGCAGGAAATTTCTCTCTTGCTTCTCTCCTTGAGTCATTTCCATCCATTGCTTCTCGTCCTGCCTTTGGAGAATGGGTTCACACACACCCCTCTTCTTTGAGGCAGCCCCTCAAATATCAGAAGATGCTATCACCTCACCCCCTAGTCCTTATTTTCATTAAACTAAAAGGTAAAGGTTCCCCTCGCACACATGCGCTAGTCGTTCCCGACTCTAGGGGGCGCTGCTCATCTCCGTTTCAAAACCGAAGAGCCAGCGCTGTCCGATGACGTCTCCGGGGTCATGTGACCGGCATGGCTCAACTCCCGAAGCCGCACAGAACGCTGTTCCCTTCCCACCAAAGGTGGTTCCTATTTTTCTACTTGCATTTTTTTTTTTAACGTGCTTTCGAACGGCTAGGTTGGCAGAAGCTGAGACAAGGAACGGGAGCTCACTCCGTTACGCGGCGCTGGGGATTCGAACCGCCGAACGGCCGGCCCTTTCAGAGCGACAAGCTCCGTGTCTTAGCCACTGAGCCACCTTTAGTTCCTTAAACTAGTCATCCCCAATTCCTGCGACCGTTCTTTGTATGTTTGAGCCTCCCCTAATCCTCTTTGCGGCTCTTCTTTCCACTCCCCCTGTGTTACCTGCGCACAATGCTTGTTGTTGTCAATGCAGGGCAACGGTTCGTCTGGATAGCCGTCGATGTCGGTGTCCCGCCCGCACACGTTTCCGTTGCCCGCCCAACCCACGTTGCACTACAGAGGCGGAGGGGAAGAAAACAAGCGTTGCGTTAAGGAGGCCGACTGAAATCACAAAATGGGGTTTTTTTTAAATTAAGGATGCAGGTTGAAATCACAAAATGTTTTTTTTTTTTATAAAGGATGACGATTTAAATCACGGAATTATTTTTATTAAGGGTGCCGATGGAAATTGAAAATAATGATTTTATTAAAGGTGTCGATTGAAGTCAGAAAATAATGTGATTAAGGATGCCAATTGAAATCACAAAATGGTTTTTATTAAGGATTCAGGTTGGAAACACAAAATGATTTTTTTTAAAATTAAGGATGCAGATTGAAATCACAAAATGGTTTTTTTTAATAAAGGATGAATATTTAAATCACAGAATGGTTTTTATTAAGGGTGCCGATGGAAATTGAAAATAATGATTTTATTAACGGTGTTCATTGAAGTCAGAAAATAATTTTATGAAGGATGCCAATTGAAATCACAAAATGTTGTTTTTTTTAATTAAGGATGCAGATTGAAATCACAAAATGGTTTTTTTAATAAAGGATGAATATTTAAATCACGGAATGGTTTTTATTAAGGGTGTCGATGGAAATCAAAAATAATAATTTTATTAAAGGTGTTGATTGAAGTCAGAAAATAATGTTATTAAGGATGCCGATTGAAATCACAAAATGGTTTTTATTAAGGATTCAGGTTGGAATCACAAAATGATTTTTTTTTAGTAAGGATGCAGATTGAAATCACAAAATGGTTTTTTTTAATAAAGGATGAATATTTAAATCACGGAATGGTTTTTATTAAGGGTGTCGATGGAAATAAAAAATAATAATTTTATTAAAGGTGTTGATTGAAGTCAGAAAATAATGTTATTAAGGATGCCGATTGAAATCACAAAATGGTTTTTATTAAGGATTCAGGTTGGAATCACAAAATGGTTTTTTTTAATTAAGGATGCAGATTGAAATCATAAAATGGTTTTTTTATAAAGGATGACGATCTAAGTCACGGAATAATTTTTATTAAGGGTGTCGATTGAAATAAAAAATAATAATTTTATTAAAGGTGTCGATTGAAGTCAGAAAATAATGTTATTAAGGATGCCGATTGAAATCACAAAATGGTTTTTATTAAGGATTCAGGTTGGAATCACA